TTGAAATTTTCTTCTAAAATGATCATTTTTATCAAGCTTGTATATTTAAGTTCAGTAATTTCACTTAAATGGCAATGAAGATTAATTGTAATTTAAGTGAAATTACTGAACTTAAATATACAAGCTTGATAAAAATGGTCATTTTAGAAGAAAATTTCAAATGGCATTTAGAGGCTTTTGCATATGAACTCTTCATATATATATATATATATATATATATATATATGATTAGTTTTTTTTTTTTAAAGGATTGAAAACAAATTACATGGATTTTATCATTCCATGTATAATTTCATTAGCATACAGGTAATAATCAAGATATTTTGGATCCACAGGTATCACAAGTTGGGCACAGCGTTTAACCCCAACACTTTGGATAAGCAGAAGGAGAGGCAGAGAGGTTTACCCAAGCAGGTTTTTGAGTCTGATGAGTTGCCAGATCACAGCAGCTATCAGGATGATCAGGTAAACCTGTCTTTGCTACTGTTTGCCCACCTAGTAGAATAATACCTTTGCACAATTCCACTGTGTCTCTCTGCTGAGAGTTTCTCTCTAAATTCTCTGAATATAATCAGTGATTTTGCATGTTACAGGATGATCTGAAGCGAAGGTCCATGTCAATTGATGACACCCCGCGGGGCAGCTGGGCTTGCAGTATTTTTGATCTGAAGAACTCTCAGCCTGATGCTCTGCTGGCCCACCTTCTGGATCGAGTACCCAACGAGGAGATCGACCGCCACAATGAGGACCAGCGCAAGTCAAACCGTCATCGAGAGCTCTTCGCACTGCATCCCGCTTTGGATGAGGTAGAGTATGGCATTTTGATTGATTAATTCTCACAAGTCCAAAAACACAAATTTCATATTCATTCTTTTCTGGATTAATTAATTAATTTCTTGCAATCTTTTCCCCTTCCTTCATGTAGGAAGAACCTATTGAGCGCCACTGTGTGCCTGATGTTCCCAAAGAACATTTCGGTCAAAGGCTTCTTGTCAAGTGCTTGTCCTTGAAGTAAGTGGAGAACAGCCTTTGTGGACTCAAATTTAACCTTACAACTACAATTACGATTTTGCTGATACGCTTCTTCTTACTTTTAAGGTTCGAGATTGAAATTGAGCCAATATTTGCAAGTTTGGCCTTATATGATATCAAAGAAAAGAAAAGGGTGAGCTGTTATGATTCCTTGTGTAATGTACAGCCCAAATAATGAATATTAAGTAGTTTACTGTTAAACAGAGGTGGGGAGTAACAAAGTACATTTACTCTGTTACATTTACTTTTTTTGGAAAAATTTGTATATCTACAATGGAAGTCAATGGGACCAGAAACTGTCTGGTTACTGATATTCTTTTAAATATCAGAAAATCTGCCGAATGGATTCGAAATTGGTAAAATCCAACTGTTTAACTTTATCTAACTGTTTAAAAGGGAGTTGTAAAATGAGCCTATTTCCAAAAAAAAAAAAAAAAGTGGAGTATCCCTTTAACTCGATTACATTTCTAATGAAAACTGAACTTTCACTTTGCTACGCTAGGCGACGTTCCTCTCCTTACTTTATTTACATGTTAATAAATGCATAGTTTATTCCAAGCGCAAGTAAGTTGGCAAAACTGTCTAATTTGGTTTGCGAATCCGTTTGAGTTATTTGTTCAGTTTTCTGCACACACTGAATATTCTGAAGTGATTTCTCAAATTGGAGTCATAACAGGAAGTTTAAGAACATCAGGAGAATAAAAGATTATTACGCTAAATACACAATATTAATACTACAAAGTATGACATTAACAGTTTTTTTGGATGTATACCTTAATTTATACATTAAATACGCAACCATTGTTCACATAGTATGAAATTAAAACCTGCCAACCCGCAATTTGTGTCAGTGGTCCCCTTTAAATGCATTTGAATGCAAAACTCTGCAGGTATGATCCGAAGAAACTACTAGTAACTTGCTACTTGAGAATTTTTTTCTTTGGATACTTGTTAGCTCTTACTCAAGTAGCTATTCAAATGTTTACTTTTTTTACTTTGAGTAAATATTTCTATAAGTACTTGTACTTTTAGTTTTTGGATACTCTACCCACCTCTGCTGTTAAATAAAATGTAGTTTACATTTGTTTGTAGAGAAAACATGACATTGCCAACTGATTCCAACACTAGATGGTAGTAGTCACCTGTTTTCGATTACAGAAAGATTACAGTTGTTCCTAGAGACTCTCACACTAATGCATCCTATCATTTTCCTGTCTTAATCCTCAGATATCAGAGAACTTTTACTTTGACTTGAACTCTGAGCAAACGAAGGCCATGCTCCGACCACACATCCCATCTGCTGCTATCTCCACCCTGGCCCGCTCTGCCGTCTTTTCAATCACCTACCCTTCCCAAGATGTTTTCCTTGTTATCAAGGTTGGTTACTATTTATAATCTTAAGCACCAGTTCATCATATTAGAATGATTTCTGAAGTATCTGATGTGATATTGAAGACTGGAGTCGTGTAATAATGTAATTCATTTATTTATGTGCTTTCTAATTTCAAGCCAATTGGACAGTTTAAGTATGAATGGATTTAATAAATGTAATAGTTTTCTTTTTGTAGTGGCATTTTTGATGATTATTCCATTGATTTTTAATATTGTGTTAATGTTTTCTTGTCACATTATCAATGCTCATCTGTTCTGTGTTTGCTTTCAGCTTGAGAAGGTGCTACAGCAGGGAGACATTGGAGAGTGTGCAGAGCCTTACATGGTCTTTAAAGAGTCGGATGCTGCCAAAGTAAGCATTTTATTATAGTTTTTTTACATTATACACCAACTCCTGGTGGAATTCACTTTAACATGGTGACTGACTGGTATTTCTTTTCTTTTCCTGGGTACCACAGAATAAGGAAAAGATCGAGAAGTTGCGCAGTCAGTCCGAACAGTTCTGTCAGCGGCTAGGGCGTTATCGGATGCCCTTTGCCTGGACGGCCATACACCTCATGAATATAGTGAACAGTGCAGGCAGTCTGGAGAGAGACACAGAGCTGGAGATGGGGCTTTCAGGTGAGTCTACATAAGGCACCAATGATTGTTGCACAGTTTGAGGTTAGTTTTCCGCACAACGTTTTGAATGGGTGACAGAACCCATTTTCATTTTTGCTCTTTGTTGGCTCTCTTTCTAACTCTTGACTCTACACCATCACACAGAGAGGAAAGGCTCGTGGTCCGAACGGAGGAACTCTAGTATTGTGGGGCGTCGTTCGTTGGAGAGAACCACCAGCGGAGACGAATCATGCAGTCTGACTAGCTTCAGGCCTGCCACCCTGACGGTCACCAACTTCTTCAAACAGGTTAGACTGTTAAAACAAAAATCATTGGAAGTTGACTGTCCAGTTACCCGTCATTGCATAGGTCAGACTGCAAAGCTAATGAATGAAATCTTTTCACATGTTATTTATATTATGTTATATATCATATTAGGAAGGAGATCGACTAAGTGATGAAGATCTCTACAAGTTCCTAGCCGACATGCGGCGTCCATCCTCTGTGCTGCGTAGACTGAGGCCCATCACAGGTAGAGCTCTCTTGGCATGTTTTTGCAATATATTTTGACCTCATGTCATTAACCATTTATGCATTGAGCTATGTAACTCATTTACTTTATGCCCTTAGCCCAGCTGAAGATCGACATCTCTCCAGCCCCTGAGAACCCTCACTATTGTCTGACGCCTGAGCTGCTCCAATTGAAGCCTTACCCTGACAGTCGAGTGCGGCCGACAAAAGATATCCTGGAGTTCCCTGCCAGGGACGTTTATGTGCCAAACACCACTTACAGGTATAACCAACTTTTAAATGTCTACATCAGTGATTCTCAACATTTTTGACTCTAACACCACAATAATACTTCAAAGGCCACTATGGGCACTCTTAGTTACTCAAAAAATACAAATAATTAAAATTAAAATAGTTACATTTCACTATTCTAGAATGTTCTTGAGGGATTCTACACGTTTAAAACCAGTGAATTTACATGGATTAAAAAAAAACATATTTGGCTTAAAAGCGTGGCATAACTAATAAAATGTATATTCTTTATAAAAACGTTTTAGCTGGTTATTAATTTACATGACTTTTCCAGGTCAAGAAATCGCCATTTTAAAATTAGACTACCTCATATGTCCATGTTTTCCAAGACTGGAAATCCCAAGAATGGAAAACAGTTGTTGGGGCGGGGGGTGAATTGAAATAACAAAATGTTCTGTTTTTAGTTGTTTTAGCTTATTTAGTCTTATTTTACACAGTTTGTTGGATTTTTCTTTGGATGTTTGTTGAAGCCCTGCCCCCTAGATAAGAACCACTGGTCTGGATTAAATTTAGAATTGGCCTCACTTTTAGCCTCGTCTTACTTTTTCTCATGCCATCTGTGTAAGCAGTCGGCCTTACTGTATGGTCTAAACCCGCTATTTAAGCTTAGTAGTTTAGTTAAGGTTGGTCAGATAAAGATACTTGTCATCTGCATATATTGACATAACCTGTCATTCAGAGGACATGTTTGTCCACTCTCAGCCTGTGCCAACGTTGTTATCTTCCTTAGGACGATCCATGCAGTCAGCCTTGATTTGAGCTGTGCTGAATAGGCAGATTGGGACAAGTTTACTGCAGACAAATTTCATGCTCTAGATTTATCACACGTGTCATGCAGGTCGTATAACATGTTAATTATGAAGGGTTGATTTCCCACTTAGGTTAAGCTTGATCCTCCTGCTGGTTTGTTATCAGTTAAATAATTGTTTTTCTCCCCCACATACTAACAGTAGCTCGTGTGGAAACTGGTTAATTTCATTTACGTGAGCCCCCAATAAAATTGGTCATATATTGTGTTCTCTGCTGAGAAGATATTGCTGAAATTTGTTTTCATTATTTAGTGGTTTACAGTTATTACCAGTAAAAAAAAAAGCTTACCCGTCGTGTGAGTCCAAGTATGTAGTCTGAACGAGAGATTTACTCGAGTGCTGTAAGTGGCTAATTTAAAGAAAGATTTATTTTTATAATTTTTTAATATTGTCTAAATGTGTTGCTATAAATATATGATGCACCCAACCATCAATGAGAAACATTCTGTAAACCAAATATACACAATACAGCTGAGTATGTACAAAGCATAACCAGGAGTCAATATGACTCAGTAACAGAAAGAGACATGCAGACCATAACGATACATGTTTTTGGTAACACTTTGTAATAATTTTCAACATCAAAATTACAAGAGCATATTTATGGCATTTTTTTTTTTGTATAATATAAATGTGTTCTTAAGCATTATCTTTATGATTTAATGAAAGTTATTATAAAGTGTTACCCATTGCTTTTTTTTCTACTGTTGCACATTTGTGTAAATTGCTTAAATACATTCTTTAAGTAAACATACAATATGTGAAATTATGTTGAGTAGTTCTATAGTTGAATGCAGTGCAGTTGTATAATATTATCCATTCCTGTTGACTCTTGATAATAACATGCACCACATCCTGTTTCAGAGGTGTGCTCTTGCCATTTTAACTTTTTCAGTTTTAGAATTTTTTTTTTAACAACTCTTCTTGGTCAGTAAGCTAAAAGTGTGTTATCTGGTGACCTATGAAGTTTTTGAACTAACATGTTGCAATAACCCTTTGACTTGGTTTTTACCCTCTACCAGAGTCAATGACCTCTTGCAGTTGCATAATTCAAAGGGAAAAGTTTTGTTGGCCAGTGTCTACTGCCAGTGTGACACCTCTAATTGATCTTGAATTACCCAATAAGAGAGTGAGAATAGGGTCAGGGATTATTTAAACTGGGTTGATGGTCTGATGGTGATCTTTGTGGATTTGAGAGTGAAGGAGCTTCCTTTGTCTGGCTTCCAGTAGATTCCTTTCCTGCGCTGGTGGCGAGTCCTCAGCCTCACCCAGGCGTATCTCCCGTTTAAGTTGGTGTCCCCACATGCATCGAACCACCAACCACCTGAAACCAGCGAACAATTATTATTCGAGGGATACTTAATTATATATTGTATGATATTAAATATTTAATTTGACCGTTTGATACCCGTGTAATTGCGGGCACAGTTGGACTCGTCATGATTATCGTTGTCTCTGTCTTTGGTTGAGAACTTCATGCCCGTGTGGTTGCTCATGGCATCAGGCAGATCTCCGGACAAAGGTGCCACGTGAAGGGCGTAATCAGATGCAGGGCCTTCCAGGGTGAACATGTACTCTATGAATCTTTTTTCCTCCTTCCAGTCTTCCAGTTCAATGTGTAAAATGTATTCTCCTTGTTGAGCAATGGAATGGATCTTTTCCAAGCCAAGCCAAAACTCTTCTGCAATACAAGAGCATTTGTGCTTAGTTGAAAGCTGAAGTTTACATTTCTAGTGGTCATGCCTTGAATAATTTTTAATCATGGCAGGAAGAGACATGATTAGAATCAATTTGAATCTGTTGCCTCTGCTTTAGCTTATTTTTTTACAGTGTTCTTCCGCTAAAGATATTATCAAGCATCTATAGTAGGAGTAGTAGAGAAGGAAACATGACATGACACAAAAGGGCATACTTACTCTCCAATTTGCCAAAGCCATGTTCATATTTTTCCCATGACTGGTCAAAATCAACGGAACCATCCTCCCTCTTCTGAATCACTGTTGCTGCTCCATCTTAAAATAAAGAGTTAAAGAGTTAAAGGCACAACCTTCTTAGTTAGGGTTGTAACCACCTAGGTAGGGTTTCTTGTGCCGGATTTTGTAACAGATATCAGTAGGAAGTCTGATTAGAAGTGCATTATTGGTCTCTTACCGGAACTTATCTCGCAGTAAACATAGAAAGGTTCAGATTGATTGGGTTTGATTGGGTAAATTCCACTGGTCCTCTGGCCTCTTCTGAACACATCACTGCAGTCTGTTGGGAAGTCTGTGCAGAAAAGCACTCCGTTGATGGTTTTGGTTTTAATAAAGCAACAATTTAAATCGCTAATTGATTTCATGCTCTTCTTACCGTTTATTTCTGTAGTTCCATTGGTGGAGTTGATTGATAGGTACCGAAAAGGGTCTAGCGTTTCTGGGTTTAAATCCAAAGGTTTTTCTGCTGTGTCTTGAAAAGTATCATAGTTCACCTGAAAATAAATGAATATATTTAATCTCAGTAAATGCAAATAAAGCCAGGAGAGTTAAAGTGATGGTCATTTTAAATTCAGTAAATATTCTTTATTTTAAATTCTGAAGGATTTCTAAACACTTGACTTTAATTTTATCAAACTGCTTAATTTATTACAAAAATATTTTAATCCATTTATAAACAAATAATATATATATATATATATATATATATATATATATATATATATATAACACATATTTACACACACACCCACACATATAATAAATATATGTGTGTGTATATGTATGTGTGTGTAAATAAAATAAGCTACATTTTGTTTGCCTGAAAATGTTCATTGGTGAGTGCAATAAGTGTGGGGACCTTTTTTTATTACAAATATACATTGAATGATAAATTTAAATCTGAATTTTGTTATGAAAATAACATACCTTATCCTCAAGACTCTTAATTTTGATCTTCTGGTAATTTAGCTGTTCGTGTTGCTCTTTAACGGATTTAAGCAAGTCTGTAATGGTCTTTTCTTGTGTTTCAATCACATCCTGCAACAGATAAACGTTGTTAATGAACCTGTACATCTATATGATCAGTACATTTTATCTGTACTTTTATCGGTATACTTTTTTTTTTGTAGCTCCTGTCATCAAATATGATTCACATGCATTATTAGACATCAATTTTTTTAAAACTGGCATTGCAAAACCCTATATTTATACGAATTTGGACCTTTGAAATTCTGACTCACCTTCAAAGCAGTGATCTCTTGAAGTTGCTCCAGAGGCATCATACTCTGAGACAAGCCCTTCAGCTTCTCCTCCAGTCCTCCAACCTTACTATGCAACTGGTTTCGCTCTTGGAGAATATTGTTAATTTTTGAGTTGATCTCCAGTGACAAGTTTCTGATCTCCTCGTTATTGGCCTTCAGAAATATGGTCGTCTCCTTCAACTTCTCTTCTTCCTCTTTGATCTCACTGGTGACCACTGAGAGCTGGTAGAAGGAACGATCAAAGATGTTGAGCTTCTGGAAGATGTCGTTGATCTGAGACTTGGTTTTGTGCACAAACTCTCGGAGACTCTGGCCGAGCTGGAGTAAACCGTTAGCCAGGAGTCTTACGTCATCTAACATGGCAAAGCGGGATCTAGCCTCAGTTGGCGGCACAGTTATTAGGATTGGCGCCTCGGTTGGATCTTTTCTCAGGTTAGAGGCTGCGCTTGTTGTGGACAAGCTTAGCCAAAAAAGCAGGAAAATCAGCGTCATTTTTGTCCAGTGTGTCAGTCCGTTGCCAATGCCTGTCTGTGTGCTAGACTCTTTTAACCTCCCTTTCTCACTACTCTTCTCATCGCCTACTCAGAGAACAAAAATGACAGAGACTCCTCAAATATATACCACTACACTGAAAGGGGAGGGAGCATTTGGTAATTATTAATCTGGCCTTGTTTGAGCCTCCTCCTCCAAATCTGTGGAAAGTTTACTCTGTGCAGACAATTTACAGTATCACACACACACACACACACACACTTCCCCCACTCACCACACATTCATAACCTGGTCCCTGGTTGCATCTGATAAGCAAAGATGAATGATGCAGATGAATCTTCCTGCCGATCGATCACATCATAACTGCGGCCACTTGGTGCTCTGTGCATGCACCGCTTGATGGGAATTAATTATAAAAGTATGCGATTTATGGTTCTGGCTTTGATTTAATGGCCTCCTGAATCAGCGGAGCATCACTCTCAGGTGCCACTGAGAGGCTCTGCATGTACAAGCAGGATCGTCGCTGGATCTCAGAACGGTTCGGCTCGGGTAATAGAAATGAGTGATGACTGAAGTTGGGGGAGTTTGTGCCGTTTGCACTGATATGTACAGGCTTTTTATTTACTGCGGCTTCATATTAATCTCCCCTCAGGGTTCAGCAGTGCTTTTATTTTTCTGTTGGCCTGGTCAGGCCAGTAGTTTCAATTGTAATATAACTTTAATTTAATATAATTTTGTTCATATGTTTGAATAATTTGAACAAATTCTATGGTTTAAAAACCTTTACTACAAGGTTTTTTTTGTTTTTTTAATGCAGTATTCACTCTTGTTATACACACACACTATTCAACCTGTTACTATTTTTGATGTAGTGAATCGCTGTTGTTTTTACAGATATTTTAATTGTGGAATAATCTCCTTTATTCAACACAATTTTACAAAAAAATACGTCAACTATAAGGATATATTCCTGTATACAAGATAATGAACATATTCTGATTAAACATGAACGTTATTTTCCATTAAGTTGAGTTGTCATTGAGTTGAAAATTGGATTTATCAAAAATCAGCATATTCTTGCGCATGTAAATGCAGACATCTAAACTATTTTGATATACTAATATGTTATGTCTGAAATGTCAAGTATTTTTGATGTAGTTTAAAAAATAACGCGTATAGCCAAATATATGGTTGTTTGAAACTATTTATGGATGCTGTTCTGTAAATTTTAGGGAGAAACAAACGTACAAATTTTTCCTGCCATATAACTTGTTTTATTTTTGCTGTGTTTCATTGATGTATAATCATTGCCCTGCTACAAGTGTGTACTAACTGGTTCTGATCAGATAGGTCTGCAAAGTTTGGACTCAGTCCATTTATTTGGATACAGCAAACAAGACCTGACTTCCATTGTGTATCCAGAGGCCATTCAGCTTGTGGGCGTTGTGGATAGAAATGTTATCTCCAATGTCCTTTCTTACACCCTGTGCCAAATCAAAAATTATTAACCCGTTATTATTTGATGAATTTGCTGATCTAGATAGAACTGAAGAAAATTTTGTCATTTCATTTTATCAACCTCTTGTTTTTTTTTTTTTCTTTTGGATTTGAATGCAATTTATAAGGGAATATTCTGAATAGCACAATGTACAAGAACTTATTCACTCCTTCCTTGCTCATTTTCTCTTTTGAGAAAATTTGAACCAAAGATCACAGTATGAAATAAGTGATGCATACACACCACATTAGAGAGGTGGTGATATTGAGAGTGCATGAGAGTTATGTGCTCCTTGGAAATCTGTGACCTTTGCGGACTGTGGGGTTTCCCAGGAGAGTATGTTCCACGTCATTGCAGTATTTCTGTCTGTTCCTGCAGCTACTGTAACCGCAGAACGGAAACGCATGGGCAAGAATGGAAAAGATAATGTTAATGCACCAAATTTTATTACTGGCCTTTTTGAAGATGTTTTCACATGTGAACAGAAACTGTTTTTGAATTTCTGTTTTGTGCAACTTATGTACTTTGAAATTTAATTTTGGTTTAATATTTTGAAATTCCTTTAACTTTCAAAGTTTCCATTTCCTGTTAGTTTTAACCATGGGTTGTTGATTTCATCATCATCTTTGTTTTTATTTCATGCACAGTAGACCCATTTCTGTCTCATTTTCAAATAGTCTTATTTCACTTAAGGAATCGGCTGAGAAACCAGAAGAACATTTCCAGAATTATTTACCTTTTAAATATAAGATTTACAAAACCTGCTTGAAAAAAACGTCCACAAATATATATATATATTAAAATGTCTATTTAATTGAATGGGAGCAGTAGGGAACAAACATTTGATGTATAAACAACTTTCCTTCCTCTGTCTACCTGCATTTGTAGGAACCTACTATACGTGAACCCACAGAGCCTGAACTTCGCAAATCGTCAAGGTTCTGCCCGTAACATTACAGTGAAAGTACAGTTCATGAATGGGGAAGATCCTAGCAACGCTATGCCTGTAAGTTCTGACAGATTCATTTACAAAGTCTCATATACAGGGGTTGGACAATGAAACTGAAACACCTGGTTTTACAACACAATAATTTGTTAGTATGGTGAGGGCCTCATTTTGCATCCAAATACAGCACCAATTCATCTTGGGAATGACAGATAGAAGTCCTTCACAGTGACCAGAGGGATTATGAGCTGTTCCTCTTCCAGAACAGTGTCCAGGTCACTATATGATGCTGGTGGACTCGCTCCTCCAAAACACCTCAATAATATTTAGATCTGGTGACTGTGCATGTTCAACGTCACTTTTATCTTCATCAAACCCTTCTGTCACAAGTCTTGTTGTGTGTGTTGGTGCATGATCATGCTGATACACGGTTTGAGCATCAGGTGCTCATGATCCTCCAGAAGGGTTTGGTAGTCCTCGGCAGTGTCGTGTCCGTCAAATACAATCAGGATTGTCATGATATTGGAGCTCAAACCATAACTGATCCACCCGTGCTTCACTCTGAAGATTGGCCGCCAGGCATATAGATGTGAAACCTCCAACATTGGCCAGTGTTTCAGTTTCATTGTCCAACCCCTGTAGCCAAACATGTCATGGGAAAGCACTCTCGTTTTGGTGTGTTGGAATCATACTTACTGTTCTTTCTTCCACGGTCTCTTAGGTAATATTTGGGAAATCCAGCTGTGCAGAGTATTCAAAGGAGGCTTACACTTCTGTAGTGTATCATAACCGGTGAGTTCATGGCTGCAGCATCTATTAAAAACTCATGCAGAAGTCTTCAACATGAGATCAAACATCAGCTCAGTGACAGTGTTAGTTGGGTGTGATTTTTGGACAGTTGGTCAAGTTTTTGTTTGATTTGCATAATAAATGGATTGTTTACACTGACATTTTTACAAATATTTCTTTTTTTTTTTTAATTTCTCAAATGTTCTTTCCTCAGATCACCTGATTTCCACGATGAAGTTAAAATCAAGCTTCCAGCCTCGCTGACCGATCATCACCACATCCTTTTCACTTTCTACCACATCAGCTGTCAACAGAAACAGAACACTCCACTGGAGACGCCAGTTGGATACACGGTACATCTTCTTCTTACCTGTCCACCGTGTATGGGTTTGGGTTTAGTGACCCCACCGCTAGTGCCACTTCTCGTGGGCTTTGAGTCCGATCCTTGAGCCGCACACTCGTCCGCAGATGGAGCAAGGGAAACCAGATACCAGATAGTCCGTCTTGGTTGGTTTGGGCAATTGGTGTTCAGCCATGCCTACGGTTCGTCCTATCCAGGGCAGATGTTTTTTTGGCAACGGCTGCTTCCATACAGATTGAGTCAGTGTTGCTGAGGCTGACTGTATGGGGGATTCAATCTTCCCAGGACAAACTGAGAATCTTCTGTAGACAGCGAATATGGAAGGCCTCTAGGTTGATGATGTGCTGGCGGTACGGGGTCCATGACTCTGTAAACAGCGACCTTGGTACTGACCTTCAGGTTACAGTTTTCAAAAACCCTGCTGCGTAGGCGTCCAAAAGATGATGAGGCTTTATTTATCCGGGTGTGTATTTCTTTGTCCAGGGAGCAGAATGAGGACAAAGTGGAGCTGAGGTAGATATGTTAGGCATATGTTAGGTAGTATTTCTGTTTTTTTGAATCAAATAAATGCAGCTTTAGTTAGACTTGAACAAGACTGCTCACAAACACAAAATTACCACTCGCACAGTGCTAATAGAAAACACATCTATGAACAGATTACACAGATTTTGGCAACACGCCACCTTAAAGGCACAATATGTATTTTTTTCTGCTTTAAAAATAGCAATAATAATTACTGTATCTATGTTTCTATTAGATGTGTACTTACATTATCCCGACAGTTTCCACCAACTTTCAAATACGGAGAAATTTATAGTTTAATTCGAAGACACGGGACGTTTCTTTATTTCCGTTTCGTCTATGGCGTCATATAACCTTTGACTATTTTCTCTAACTTCCTGTGGAACCCGGGGAAACCATAGGGCGAAACCGCCAAACACAAAGGGGAACACTGGAAAGCAAAGAAAATGACGAATAAAAAAAAAGTAGTACGTATTTTTATGTGTGTAAATCACGTGCCCGCTCACGAGCGCTCACTCCCCGGCGCTGCTCGCGCGTCACAGAATGTTCATAAAGCGATCCCCGTTCACAGTAACCGGGTCGTCGCATTCAAAACAACCAGCTGTTGTTGTCAGCGAGCAGCCGCACATTGAATACTCATATGAGTCAGGCTGCGAATGTAAGTTACGTGCCCGCCCCAGCGCGCTCATGCTTACTAAATAAACGTCTCACCTCCGGCGCCGCGCACTCGCTACATTCCCTTTAGCCTTTAGCACATCTAGTGGATGCATAACGCAAACCCAGTCAAATGTTTGACTGCAGTATCTTATGCGGCTTATAATCCGGTGCGCCCTATATATGAAAAATGTTCTAAAATAGATCATTCATTGAAGGGGCATAATATAAATATTTATATTAGTCTGTATTATAGTTATGGTCCACGATTATGCTTTGCCTGCACGTTCTGCTGCTACAGCCAGCTCAGTAAAGCTCACACGTACGGGTGAA